GACCACAGCATATGTGCTGACAGCAGCCAGGTGTGCGCACACACCAGTGACTGATTGCAGCTCTTATTTCAAATGCTCCCTATGACAAGCTTTTGATGCAAGTAGTAATTAAATTACTCACTTGGGTGCTGGAGAGGTAGCTGCATTTTGGGGATCAGGGAAAGATGAGCTCACTGGCTCCTTGTTGGAGAGAAGAAAATAGTTTCCTCCTCCTTGGACATCTCAGGTGTGCAAGAGTAAATTCCCTAAGAGCAAAACTCTGCCCTTCTCAGCACAACTCTCACCAAAAACATTTTACTCCAGATGCATCCCTGATATTAGCATCACTGACCCCAGTGCTGACACCAAGGAAGGTGCATGGAGTAGCAGGCCAGCTGGACTTGGTTCCATATGAGCTCTTGATGTGCAGCAAACCATGACACTTTATAAGGGTGAACTTGTACTTTTGCTTACAAATGGCAACACAGACTTTTTAGGATCATAGAAAATTAGGTTTGGAAAGAAAGTCAGGAGGTCATTTAGTCCAACCCCTTGCTCAAAGCAGGACCATCCCCAACTAGATCATCTCAGCCATGGCTTTGTCAAACTGGACCAAAGATGGAGATTCCACCAGTTCTCTGGGTAACCCATTACAGTGCTTCACTACCCTTCTAGTGGAGAAAGTTTTTCCTAGTATCCAACCTAAACTTCCCTTTTTAACCACATGAGTGTTGGAACTAATACATGTTAGTTATTATACAGCAGCAGAGAGGGCCATAAAAGTTTTCCAGTATTAAAGGCAGATGTCTGCTCTGAAACATCACAATCCCAGAGAAACGACAGCAAATGAGGGCAGAGAACTACTGGATGAAGGGAGGGGGTCACTGTCAAGAATAATCATGTGATTTCTATTATACACTGAACACAGGCATTTTTCTCTCTCTCACAGACCCCAAAATACCCAGTTCTGGGGTTTACTGAGGCGTCTTGAATGTTTTCTTGTACTGATATGTCATATGTGGTCTTTTTGGAGAGCCAAAGGATACACTGTATCCTTGCTGTTGTTATTACTGTATAGATTGTGTCATGCCGTCTGTATATTTCTATAATTTTGGATGTAATTTAGCCAGAGAATTTAGAGATGCATATTGAAAGACATTTGTCACTCACAGGCTCCGACAGAAGGAGACATTATTTGGTTGGGCACCCAAAGCACTGTCTTCCTGTAATGGGGAAATCAACTCCTCTATAAAAAAAGGCATCTGAGAGAAACAGCCCATCAGCCAGAGGAATTCCAGGTGCCTCAGGGAGTCGAGACATTTCTGGAGGATTCTGGTGACTCTTAGGAAGGCTAGGCAGTAACCAGATGAGAGGGTAAGAAACTTAACTTGTCTTGTTTTTCTGTCTTCAAACCTATGGCCAGTTTTTCTTCTGTAATTTTTTTCTCCTACATAATAAATCTTTTTGTTGTCTCCCTACCAGTTCCATGTAGAAAGAGTGATCTCTGGGCAAGTGATAGTCCAGGCTAGCCCATTCTACAGAAAGGGGAACCTAAAATTTATTTCACAACCCAAAAAGGGAAGCCACCTAGAGCTGGCAGAGATTCTTTCACTGCACTTGCAAAGTCCAGCATAATGGCAGTGGAGCTGGGGCTATCTGGCCCTATCCCAGAGCAACCTTGACCTGTTCCTTAAGATAAGCAGTAGGACAGCCAAAAGAAACTCAGGGCCCTAGCCACACCTTGCAGACAGGTGCCCTTCTTCCTTTTCTTTCTCATTTTGGGAAGAAAGGTTCAATCAGGTACATGAGCTAAGGACAACATTGGAAACTCAACCAAAGGCAGGGAGGGCTATGGGGAAGGAATTAAAAAAAATATAGGGAGCTTGCCTCTCTCCATCAGCAAGGCAGGTCTGGTCACTGCAGACGACATGTACAAAAGGCACTATAAGAATGAGAAGGTGAAAGGAAGGAGCAAGATGAGAGGAGTGAGGAATAGGGTATCATCTCTACTCTGCTTTAATGAGGTACAGTTGTGAATCAGAGGTGGCTTTCACTTCTTGCAGGATAGATGGCTCTATAGAGTATTAAAGCAAAACCTTGGGCCTGCTGATATTTAAAAGCTAACTGGTTTAGCCAGGCATGACTAATAAACCATGTGCAGATTTATTTCCTACACACCAGAAACCTCTCAGAGCTTATTGTTCTCAGTATCAGTAAGTAATAAGCTGGATGCATTAGAAATGAATGGGTGATAATTAAACACAGACAATAAAAGGGTTTCTGCAAATAAATCAAACTGAACATTGGCAACAACATTACAAAGAGGCCATGAAGCCCCAACACCCTTTAATTGGTTCAGATGGTGAGAAATAAAATGAGAAGTAGGAGATTGCCCACTTCTGAGTCACAGATTTGAAACCACTACAGAATGCGCCATATCTGCTCAGTGGCATAGCCAGCATGAGTTGGGAGTGGGTAGGATATCAGTCCAGTTCTTAGAGGCAAGTGACCATTTAATAAAAAGCCCTTCTTCACTATTATTCTAACTCTTCCTCCTTGCTGAGTCTCAGCAGGAGGGCCAATGACAAAATGGTACATGGAGGCTACATCCCCCTTCCTTATACAGGATCATAGGAAAGAAGGGCTGGAAGTGATCTCACAAGATCATCTAGTCTACCCCCCTGCTCAAGGCAGGATCATCCCTGACTAAATAATTTAGGCAAGGGTTCACGCCTACCAGTTCTTGAAAATTTCCGGTGATGGCAATTCCATAATTTCTTTAAGTAGCCTGTTTCAATGCTTGACCACCCGCAGTCAACAAGTTCCTCCTAATCTCCAACCTAAGATTTCCTCTCCTGAAGCTTGAGGCCATTGCTCCTAGTCCTTTTCCCTATAGCTACAGAGAAAAGTCCATCTCCATTCTCTCTATAATTGCCCACCGGGTATTGAAGGATTTATCAAATCCCCCCAGTCTTCTCTTCTCCAGACAAAATAACATTAGTTATTTGAACCTTTCTTCATAAATCATGCCTCCCAGGCTGCCAATTACTTGTTGTTGCTCTGCAATGGACTCTTTCCAAGCTGCCCACAACCAGTTTTGGGCCCCAAGAAGAAAGCAATACTCCAGGGGAGGCCTCACCAGTGCTAAATGGAAATAAAGAATCCCTTCCTTTGATTTGCAAGCAACATTCCTGTTAATTCAACCCAGTGCGTGGTTGTTTTTTTGGCTTTTTTGGGAGGTTATTTGGCAAGAAGAGCACACTGTTGGCTCTTATTCAGTTTATGGTCTACTGTAACCCCCAGGACCTTCTCTGCAGTACTGTAGCCTAGCCATTCATTCCCAAGTCTGCATTTGTGGAAGCAATTAGTCTACCCCAAGTGCAGGACTTTGCAATTGTCCTTACTGAATCTCAACTGACTGACTGCGGACCATGCCTCCAGCATATCCAGGTCATTCTAGATGCTACCGCCAGTCTCCAGAGTATCTGCAACTTCATCCAATATGGTGCTGTCATCAAATTTACTAAGCATGCAATCAATCCCATCATCTGAATCATCAGTGAAGGTATTAAACAATAGCAGACCCAGAACAGACCCTTACAGAATTCCACTTGTTACTTCCTCCCAATAAGGGAAAGGTGGTGCCATCTTGTTTCAGCAGGGCAAGAGCAGCTTGTCATGCCACAGTTCATTCAGCACCTCACCCAGAGGATTTCCAGCAGTGCCACATTCACTGTGGGGAAAGGGAATACAAGGGACAAAATGCAGTGGAAGACTGAAGGCTTGCTTTTGTGCCCCTAGCACCGGTCCCACAATATTCAAGAGGCAGAAAGACTTGTTCCAGAGCCACTGGTCTTAGGCCCATAAGGCATGGGCATGGCTTAACCAATTTTGCATCAATACTCTATAGAGACATCTGTCCTGCAGGAAGAGAAAGTCACCTCTGATTCACAACCATACCTTGCATAGGCACCAGCTTCTATTTTTGCTGGAGGCAGGGCTAAGATGATGGACACATAGAAAGTTTTATGCATTTCAGATAACAGCTCGCTTCCCAAGGCAGCCAGGCCCTTTGGGTCTCCATGTACTCGGACCCATGGCACCTCACTAGAGCAGGGTAGGGATGTTACCCTCTTACTCACTTTTCTCACTTTGCTCCTTTCTTTCACCTTCTCAATCCCATAGTGCTTGTTCTACATACTGTTTGCAGTGACCAGACCTGCCTGGTTGATGGAGAGAGGCAAGTTCCCGCTCTTTCTTTGAATTACTTCCCCATAGCCCTCCCTATCTTTGGTTGCATTTCCAATGTTGTCCTTAGCTCATGTGCTTGATAGAACCTTTCCTTCCAAAATGGGAAAGAAAAAGGAAGAAGCAGATTGTCATAAAGCCATCTGCACAGTGCACCTAGACTAGAGCCCCAAGTTTCTCCCTGCTGTCCTATTGCTCGTCTCAAGGAACAGACCAATGTTGCCCAGGAATAGAGCCAGATAGCCCCAGCTTCACTGCCATTATACTGAACCCTGCAAGTACACAAGGGCATCTCTGAGGTTAATGAAAAAGCTGTTTGAGATTTATTCAAAGGGTACCAACTTTGGCAATGCACTTTTACATGGATGTGAAGGATACAAGGCCTCTGTGCTACCCTGAGCCAAAGCCACCAGCAGACACACAGCTAAAGTTTGAGAATTTTCACTGTGACACTGCCCTTACTAAACAAATGAGTGACATTCAAGGCAGAAAGTAACAGTGCCTCCCTCTGCTCTCCACACTAATGGGATTCACTGGAGTAAAGTTCCAGTGCACAGGGTATAAATCACAGAGAAAGAGATGTTTGAAGAAAAATGCTACCAATTTCAGTGAAAAGAATGAGGTCCATAATACTACTCCCTCAGGCTATAGAACAAGCACTTTTTACCCCAACAATCATGTTAGTAGGTTAGAAGATTGCTCTGTTTATCAATTGACACTTTGGAAAGAGCACAATCTAGAAGTGTAGCAGAATATATACAAAGGAGACATACAGACATGGTCATCTGTTCATTCTTTCTGCAGGTTGAATGGAAAACTTGCTCAGGTCGATATTACCACCTATAATTTAATAAATAAATAAATAAAAACAGAAAACTGATCAATAGCCAAGAGATGGACTTAACAACTTTTCTAACATAAAACTGCTTGAAAAGGTGCTTTATACTCTGCTGTTTGGACTAGACACAGCTGCTAGTTATTGATCTGTTACAGACAAACTGCCTTTATTAATAAGCACTTGCATTATCTGGTGACCTCTCCTGAAAATGTTGACCTTGTTACTAATTTACATGAGAAGCTAAGTATCAAGCAGTTCTTTCTCTCTGTGACAGTTTCTCGCACACATGCACTTTCCCTTTAGCTAGTCTCTGAAGTCTAGCTTTTTATGGCTTCACTCTGTACAGTGAGGTTGACGTTACTGTCTTTCTACAGGAACGAGTTGAGCAGATCATATGCAGAAGCTCCATAGCTAAGTTTACAGACAATTGTTTTGGCAGATGTTACCTCTAAAATTGTGGGGGGTCTAGAATTAAAATATTTAGAACCAATGTACTGTAAAAAACTAATCTTTACTGAATTTACTTAACATGGTTGCAAGTCTTCACAGATCCACAATATCCAAAGGTATTTCACTGATACTATCGCTAAACCTGCAATGTTTTGTATAGTAACACATGACAGTCTTATACTTGGCTACTGAAAACAACAATTTAGCATGTCAATGCCCATTTATTATCCTCAAGCACCAACTGCAGCATCCAAATGTGGATTTCATATGCCTTACTAAGATGCTCATATTTAAGAATAAGATTTAACTGACTACTATGTAACAGGGAACCCTGTCCCTTGTACTAGGAAGGTGGGGGAGGGCAAGAAACTTGGAGCTAAAACCAGCAACTAGTAGCTGAACAGGTGGAATGAATCAAGGACTAAAAAAGCCAGGTGTTTAATGATCTAATTAGCTAATTACCCAGACCACTTGGCCTTGGGTACAGGAGATCCAGTCACATGACTGGAAAAAGGCTGGCTTTGGGCATATAAACCCAGTCCCAGACCATAGAAAGCTAGGGATCTTCTAGGAGAGATCTAACTACAACAAAAGGCTAAGCTAGCTTGAGAGAAGTATCTTGGAGACTGGAGAGATGGAAGGTAGCCAGCTTGAGAAGCAGGGCTTGAGCCCTAGATACCAGGGTGGTTTATTTTCAAGTGGTTAGGTCCCTGTTTTCTGTTGGAGTTTTTCTACTGGAGAACTGGGAGATGCCCACAGGTAGAGATGCCTGGGACGCACTCCCCATTATCCACAACAAGAGCTAGACCTGAAGCTAGAGGGGCTGAGGCTGGTGGAGTGAAACTGGAGCCCTAGGAGGGGATGCTGCTGCCCAGGAGCTGAGTTCTTACACAATAACTCAAGGCTCTGGATGTGGCTAGAGGAAAAAGGGGCTAAAGCTGGGATAGCTGAAGCCCCAATACATGCTCAAAACCCTGAAGGGACACTCTATTAAAGGGGTAATGCTTGAGGAGGTGCACAGACCCCATGCTGGGTGGACCTATCAGCAAAGGTAAAGCCAACCAACAAGGCTACACTCAACCGCCAGGGATTGTTCCCAAGGGCCCCAGAAGATGACATTGAAGTCATCATGGCAGGTGAGACTGGAGATGAGGTGGGGCCTGCAAAGACCCAGCAGCTGAGTCAGATGATAGGGGAGGTGCAGGGGTACCAGGTGGCAGACCCCTGAGGCCTGCTGCATACTGATTTTTTTTTTTTTTTTCTCTCTCATTGTTGTGGTTTGTTTGTTTGTTTGTTTTTGTTTTTATGTTTTGGGGGTTTTTTTACTCTTTTAAGGCCAATCTTAAACACCTTCAGGAAATCATGGATGCAGAGCTCTTTCACCATTAAAGAACAGCTATTCTGTGTGTTTAAAGAACAGAATCTATATCCTCCAAACTTCTACTATATCTTTGATTCTTTCACACATTCATGTTTACAGCTTTAGCATAGATCATTATGCAAAACAGACTTTTTTTTTTTCAATTGTCCTAGAAACTAAGCAAAGAATGGAATTAAATATTTGCCCGTAGATTGTTACAGCCACCGATCTAAAAATCAGTGATACTGTGAGAGAGAGCTTGCATGATTTTAGGAGGAGAATATGCAATGTCTTAATGTTACCTCACAGTATGGCATATAAAGCTAGACTTCTGCCTCTACAGCATAAATAAGGAGGGCACGCTTCCTAATCTATAAGGCTGATGAAACTGCCCAGATTCAGAAAATAATGATAGAGCTGTGACAACTCCATCCTCATCCTTGAGATTGCAATATGAACAGCTACAGGCAATCTCAACTTGGTATACCTTCAATGAACATACAAGTGTGCCTTTATATATGCAAACCTACATCTCTTCCAAACTAATATCTCTATACCTTTCCTTGCTTCCCAAGAGATACAAGTTCTATACCCAATACATTTGGTTACATCCAACTTGGGAAGTTTAATGGCAACATACTTTGGATCGGTAGAGGAAATCCAAGGGCTAGGCTAGACTAGACTGCAATTGCTTTAAATAAAAATAACCTGGTGACTGAGTTTTCTTGAAAAGCAGCCAAAGCAAAAGCAACTGTATACTTCACAAACTGCAAGTCAAGTGTTGACTTCCATCTCCTGGTTACTGAGGATTACATCAAGAAGCTACATGTGGTACATCTACACTAGGTGCATAGGGCTGACCCTGAAGGTTACCCTCCAACCAGCCTAAGCCATGTGTGCTACCCCTCCCAATCTATTTCTTAACCAGCAGCCCACAGTGGAGCTGTAGTGTAAATGGATTTTTGTTCCTTGAATGGAACCTCAGTACCAGTTTGCCCACTACCTGTCTCCTCCTATAGTTGCCTCTGAGGGCAGTAGAGGCAAAGACGAAAGGATCAGACATCAGGAACAGGAAGTTGTGGGATTGTTATTGCTGGTCTTCCTGAGTCTGCAGCCTGTTTGGGTGAATTCCAAGCACCCTGCAGGGAGATGCAGACAAGGAAGGGGCTCAAACCTCAGCCCAATATTTAGCAAAGCTTCTAGGATCGTGCTGGACTGCTGCAGGGAGCAAAGTATAGAGATTTCATAGAAGATGATCTGTGAGTACAGGCTTGAGTTTGACCCAAACCATCAGTGTAAACATAGCCTGACAGATTCAGTTAATAGAGATTAGATGCTTATCTATACCACACAGCATTGAAATATTCAGCGATGAACCTATGCCAACCCACTCATCTCAGGTGCAGATGTGCAAGTCAATTATTATAAATGGGAAGAGAAAGTAGATTCAAACTGCTCCTAAATTCATTTTAATTTTCACTGGTGTAAATCCAGAGTAATATAATTGACTTCAATATTCTGCATTTATACCAGTGGGAAAACTGATTTAGAAGCTTCATGTGTATTTGAAGAGCATCTCACCATTTAACAGAAGCACACACCTATGGTTAAAAAAATAAACCTCGACCCAAAAGTTCCAAATAGTTCTAACCCACAGCTAGGGCTAGGGCTTGTGCAATGGAAATATATTCTTTCCTTCAATCCATTTTACTTAATCCAGTTCACATGACACTTAGTCCACCCTCCCTTTACAATGGAAGTGCCTCATTTGCAAGAATTTAGGATATAAACAAAACATTTCTAATGGAGGAAGGAGGAGATACAAAGATAGGTGGAAATCAATTGTAATACAGCAAGGTGAGTAGTGGCAGAAATGTGTATTCCATGCTTCAGTGTGTGGTGGAGGCTTTTAACATAATAAGATGGTACACATACCTTTTGAAGATCCCAGCAGATCTCTTGCTGCTTTGGAGAAGTCAGTGAGACTTACCTTTCCTGCTGTTTTTCAGTAACACATCCTCCTACCAGAGTTTCAAATTCATTGACAAGGGCACACACATGCACTAGTGACATTTGGAAGCTGGTCACCTTGCCTGAGTCACTATCACTTGGATCAAACTACTGTCTGATTGCTCTGCATGGTTTCCAGCTGCCAGCTCTAAAGTGGCAAGGAATCCTCAATTGGACTCTGGAACCTGGCTTGTTGACACTTCAGAGCCTGCCTGAATTCATTAGCAGTGGTGTAACAAGGGCACTACAACACACTGGAGCTGTGAAGCCCCATACTTTAGGAACAAGAAAGAACAGTGTCCATAATCCCTTTAGAGCTCTCCACATACTTAAATGCAGCCAACTAGTTACAAAGCAATGTTTTTCCTGTGCTACTATAGCTTTTTAATGTGTTTTCCTTAGCAAATCTAAGCTGAATGAACTACCAGGTCGCCACAAAAATAATGAATTGGGGCCCAGATTAAAGAAAAGATAGGAAGACTTCCAGGACCAAATTCTGTTCTCATCAACACGGACACAGATCTGGAGCAATTCTTCTGGATTCTGTACCAATCTGAGAACAGAGCTGGGCTCTGCCTTCCCCTAGATTTAAGGAGTGAAACATAAGAGCAGTTTCCCTGCAGCCAGCACATTCTTGTGTTTGCAACAGGTAGTAGTGCCCTTCTTACACTGCCCCTTATTTTGATAGATACCTTTCTCTGGCAAAGTGAAGGTGAGCTTTCCAGCATGTGTGTATGCTTAGCAGAGCTGTGCTGAGGGGAAAGGGAGAAAAACTCGGACAGTTGCCACACTTATCAGTGACTCATGGACGGTGTGACTTGGTGGTCTATGACAGGAACATATCAATAGCACCTACTATTAGCTTCATGGCTACTGTCCAGGAGTACTACATTCTTAAATGTCCATATAGTGCAGAGAGTGATATTCTGAGGTTACCTAGTGGGACCAGTGGTAAGTAACTAGCAAGATCCTTGCAGTGCAGATTTAAAAAAAAAAAAACAGAACAAAAAACCAACAAAAAAACCCAACTGAATTATGCAGTAATGGTCCAGATGACTAGAGCTCAAATCACAATACTTATAGCAGTACTCACTCATAGTACTGCACTGACTCCTGTGCTGGACCACTACCAGAGAATGCTGCATTTTTTTAAGAAGGGGATCTGGGGATGCTGGCTCTGGGCCCAGCTGCTTCCTTTAGGCACCAACAAAGATGACTGAAGGGAAAAGGAGATTTACAAACAAAAAGAATAACTTTCCAATTTTTCCAACTTCATTAATAATTAAAGACCCTTAGGACAGATCTGTTGAGATGAGAATACTCCATGTACTGAGAGGGTCCAGTATTTCAAAAACAAACAAACAAAACAAAAAACCCAAAACCAATAAAAAAAAACAAACCCTACACTCAATGTTTCAGGTTTGATCTCCTAAAAAATCTTAGCCAAGCACTCTAACAGTCAGTAACCAAGTTTCCCTATTTTCAGAAAGCAAACACTTCAGGGGCAGACAGTTTATGTAACTCAGAGCTGAGTGATCCTCGGTTATGTTTTTGCCAAAGAGGTTCAGAAACAATATTAAAATTATACAATCCCAGAATGCTAATTTTTACTGAATTCTAAGCATTACCCAGCATGTGTAATTATGCCCAATATATGCGAACAGACATTCAATGATTATCATTAGATCTATTTGTTAATATGAAGGCAGAGTCAATAAGAATTTACATAAAACTAGATCTAAGAGAAAAATGATTTACTGGATCTTGCATCAAGGGAAATTGGTCTTTTACATAGTTTTCCATGAAACCGGTGGTTTGTCTTCATCATTGTGAATGTTGTGTTCTGTTCACAATCCAGCATACAGCATTTTCTGTAGGCCCACCACACATACCTCCCAGCTTCTTCAAAATAAGGGAGAGGAAAAAGCTGGTACTCACGGTCATTGCACTGGCTGCCTGAATATGAAGTCATGGAGCAATCACAGGTGAAACCTTCCCACTGCTGATTACAGATGCCTTGATTAGCACAGGAATCTTCTTGGCAAGTGGTACTTGGTCCTGGAGAGGGGATGAGGAAAAAGGGGTGGGAGAAAGTCAGGAGGAAAGGTTAATGGGCCAGGGACATGGTGGATTTATCATCATCATCATCATGCAGAGAATAAAAGTAAACCAAAGACTTTTCCATTCTTGGACATGCAACAGAAATTCAGGGCAAACAGAAGACACAGAGAATTGCACATTCAGCACCAAACAGCAGACTGACACACAGCAGAAAAGAGGAGTGAACAGCAGCATATTCCCTCTTATACAGACTCAGTTATTATGCCTAGGGCTAGTAAGCCTGTGGCAGTGCATCCAGGTCTCAGATGTCTCTGAGCACACCCTACCTACTTGTTTCTGTCCATGCTTTCCAAACCCAGAAACGTGCCAATAGAGCTGTTCCAGAGTCATCCAAAGCAGCCACTCCAAGGTCTCTCTGAGGTGTCAATTATGTCCACAGAGAAATTAGAAGAGGCATCCCACAGTGATCTCACAGGCATATTTCTGGGTTGGAGCAGGTGAGTGGAAGTGGGCATGCTCTGAGGGTTTCTGCTGGATACGCTGCTGTTACATTGTAGACACACGTATCATGTTAAAAGGAGAGAGTGGCTGAATTACAGTCCTGTTGTGACAAATTATTTAGGGCTCACATACAACCTACTAATAAAGCCCCCTAGCAGATAGAACATGGTCAGCCCTGGTTTAAAGTCCAGTACTTCATAATGGAGTGTTCTCTGCTCTTTCTTTTAGACTGCATTTCCCACCCAAGCTCTCTTTCATCACACTGTGATTTGGAGGCATGATATAAATTTGCAATCCTGCTCAGACACACTTTCCTAAGTTGAGGCAGGTAAAATCAGCAAAAGCAGGTTCCAGAAAAGAGTAGTTCTCCACAGCTTCTACTGACCCTGCCAGAAGGAAGTACTTTCACTGTCGGTCACCTGACAGGACCTGCTAAATTACAGTAATGGCCAGGGTATATAAGAACACAGGACACGAAGGGACATCCTGGGATATCAAGTCCAGTCCTTCTTATTGCAGGCAATCACATCATATATTAGTCATGCTCCTCCTTAAAACTAATAGGTTTTTGGCACCCATCACTTCCTACTAGAAGACAGTTCCAGAACTGCATTCCTTTATACCCATCTGTTCCTGTTCAACATTGTCCTGGAGTTTTTATAGCTCTTCTCCCTCCCCAGAGTTTATCCCTTTCTCCAATTAATTTCAGACAGCACTTGTATTTCTCTCCCTCTCAATACTAGATAGATGTTTCATACGTTAGCTAAGATCTTTCAGTGTTTCATCATTCAAATAATGGAATCTCACAAAATACAACAACAGGCTTCCAAAAACTGTGCATGCATCATCTGTATTGAATAGTGGCTCCTGTGTCTATGATGAGTAGCTGCACTGATGTGTACAAAGGACCATGGGAATCAGATCTACTCTGTATTCTCAGCTCTGCAACTAAAGTGCAAGGTGGCCTTTCACATGTCAGATCACTTCTCTGTGCCTTGGTTTCCCCCTGTAAACAATGAGATAATACTGAACTCACCTTAGTAATGCATTCCTAAGCTTATGGTCAAAAACTATAGGGTATTATTTTATCAGATATTGTGTATCCAGACATTTGCAAGCCAGTCCTTTCATGCAGTGTTTGGAGGGATGCACACAATTGCTGATAACACCCCTGGTAACTGCTGCCTTGACTTATTTTGGAAAGGAAAAGTGAGGCTGGCACTGAAAGGCTGAATTAGCCATACTAGCCAAGGTCAAGCTATTAAACTACCTCTAGGTTAGCCTTGAAAGCTATGGTGCCTCACATTAGACCACCCTCCTAATTGAAACTATTGGCCTCAATTAGTTGTCCTAAGCCTCAGAGCAATCAAACCCTAATTAGTAGGTCTGTGCGAAGCTTCGGGTGGTGATTCAATTTGGAGGAGATTTGGCCCGATTCAGTGGCCAAATTTCTGAATCTGAATCGAATCAGGGGACTGGTTTAAAGGTCCAAATCAACTCAAAGCTCTCCGAATCTTTGGAAAAGATTCGGAGAGCTTTGATGATTCGGACAGTCCCCAGTGGCTGCAGCTGACTCTGAGCTGGTAAGTAATAGGGGTGGGGGGGGGACCA